AATATAATAAATATATTTTTTATAATTAATTTTTATTAAATATAAATATTAATTTTTATTTAATTAATTAATTAATTAGAACAACCTGCTTTGGTTTAGTTACATTAGATTTTGGATTAAAACCATTCACCTCTCTTAATTTGGGTGTTTGAATTTCATGAAATCTTTTTTTTTTTCATTTCCTCAATTAATATGTTAATAATTACAATCTATTCAAAAAATTAATTAATTAATTAAAATTATTTACTTATTAATAATATTAAAATATATATTAATTTTTATAAAAATTAATTATAAAAACATGCACTTATTACATCTTAATGACACAAGTTAAATAACCTCATAGAGAATTTATTAATTTCAGCATAATCCAGAAAAGTAACTTCCTTTTTTATTAATAGAGTTTAATTAATTCCAGAATAAATGCATGCGCAGTATTCCTTAATTAGCAAACGTTGTACGGTTTCTTTCTTTCTTTCTTTCTTTATTTCTTTCTTTCTTTCTTTCTTTATTTCTTTCTTTCTTTCTTTCTTTATTTCTTTCTTTCTTTCTTTCTTTCTTGGAGAAAAGGCAATTTGATTTTCTATTACATATCACCTGATTATTTTGGATAGTAATAAAAATTCCCCATCTTCTCGATCGATAATGTGATGCATCATGTATAGAAAATTAAATAGGAGTATTTATTTATTAAAATTAATTTTTTAATACAAATTGCATAAAAAATTATCATTCAAAATAACCTTAATTAAACTCTCTCCTTATTTATTTATGAGTTTTTTTAATATATAACATATATCTATATACATTAAGGATGTATTTATTGTTTTTTTATATATTAAAAAAATAAAAATTAACATTAATTTTATTAATTATCTAATTTAAAACATCTACATTACATAGTGTTAAATTAATATCAATATTTTTATTTTTCCAATATTTAATAGATATAATAAATAACTCTTAACCACAAAAACAAACTCTTTATTCATGTCTTAATTTTTTATCTATTTTTTATTATAAATTATATAAAAAAATGATAACTCTCTCTTATTCTCAAATTTTTCTCCACTCAACTCAAAATTTAAACTTGAAATTTTTAATTTAAAATTTTAAACTTTTAACTATTAAACCACTCTATCATATCTTAATGATGTCTTAATGATATTTAAATGATGTGTATATACATATTATTTTTACAATCTATACTAAAAACACACTAGTTTCTTTATTTATAATAAAAAAGTTTCTAAATGATTTATAAAATAAATTATATATTAAAGATACAATTTAATTTATAAATTTATTAAAATATTTTTAATAAAATAATATAAAAAATAATTTCATTAAAAATATTTTAATAAACTCATATCCTATACTACATTTTAAAAGTATAATTTCAATTATAAAACTTAAATATGTTATCCATATAACTAGAATTCTAATAACTATAAAAAGAACTACTCAAAAACGAGATTTTTTACCTTAAACCAAATTTTCAATGTACACTTTGAGAAGATAAAATATAAATCCAAGAGAATTTTTACTATAAATACACACCCTTGTCCGTTGTGAGGTCAGATTTTCACCCGTAAAATCTACCAAGCAAAAGATTCAATCTCCTTCTCCTCTCTGTTTCCCAACGCCGGCAATGGGGTTCCCAGCCAACGGCTCAGCCGACAAGCAGCTCAAGTTCTTGATCTATGGCCGTACCGGTTGGATCGGCGGTTTGCTGGGGAAGCTCTGTGAATCCCAGGGAATTCAATACCACTACGGATCTGGACGCCTCGAGAACCGCAATTCCCTGGAAGCCGACATAGCTGCCGTCAACCCCAGCCACGTCTTCAATGCCGCCGGAGTCACTGGCCGTCCCAACGTCGACTGGTGCGAATCGCATAAGGTGGAGACCATCAGGACTAATGTAGTCGGCACCCTGACCCTCGCCGATGTCTGCAGGGAGAAAGGTTTGATTTTGATTAACTACGCCACCGGCTGCATCTTCGAGTACGATGCCAATCACCCGCTCGGTTCCGGCATCGGGTTCAAGGAAGAGGACACCCCGAATTTCACCGGCTCTTTCTACTCCAAGACCAAGGCCATGGTGAGCATCGATCTCACAATTACAATTAAATGCTTGATTTCTGATTTTATATATGTATAAACCTGAATCGTGTTGGATCTGATGATTAGATGTTGGATCTGTTTATTTAATGTAGGAAAGTGGAAGTAGTTTGATCTTAACACTTACCTATGTAAAACTTGCATGGTGTTTAGACTTGTTGATTTGTTTAATTGTTGGAGATTGGGAATATTTTTGTTTTTTGTTGTTCATGGGGATTGTTATGTTGTTTTCTAATTGTGGGTTGTTTTTTGACAATGAAAGGTGGAGGATCTGCTGAAGAATTATGAGAATGTTTGTACCTTGCGAGTTAGAATGCCAATCTCCTCTGATTTGTCTAACCCTCGTAACTTCATCACCAAGATCACTCGATATGAGAAGGTGGTCAACATTCCTAACTCGATGACTATCCTGGATGAACTCCTTCCCATTTCCATTGAGATGGCAAAGAGGAACCTCACTGGAATCTGGAACTTTACAAATCCTGGAGTGGTGAGTCACAATGAGATCTTAGAGATGTACAGGGAGCATATTGATCCCACCTTCACCTGGAAGAACTTTACCCTGGAAGAGCAGGCCAAGGTGATTGTTGCCCCAAGGAGCAATAATGAACTTGATGCCACCAAATTGAAGAATGAATTCCCTGAAATGCTTTCCATTAAGGACTCTCTTATTAAGTATGTCTTTGAGCCGAATAAGAAGACTGCTGCTTTACACATCTGACGGACGCAGGAAATTCCTGGGGATCAATCCACGTTCCTGTGTAGCTGGTTAAGTTTGTTGTCAGGTGAATGAAAATAGCAGTGGAGCACTGGGGCTTGAAAATTCTGGGTTTGAATTCTTTGATTTTCCTTTTTGCTATTTATTATTGAATTCGGTTCATATGAGCTGATGTGGTACCTCCTCCACAGGTTGCTCTTCCCAAATGACACTGAAAATTTATGGTATTTGTATTTGAATGTTGTATTCATATTAGAGTATGAATAATGTCAGAATTTCTTTCCATAGAAATCGCAACTTCTACAAGCAACATATCTATTGCTTAAACTTTTCGAGGAGAATTGGAACAAGAGACATTTTTGAGAAATAACAGAGAGAACAGAGTTATCCAAGTGCCAGTAGTAGCACTACTTTTAAAACATTAGACTCTTAGTTTCTAAAACAACTCCATGTTTATTATACTATAGTACTCCTTAGTCTTCAAAACAAAATCATCTATTTGTAGAACTCCATGACCGAGAAGTTGCAAACAAGGCATTCAAATCTGATGCCACTGAACTCAGCTCCGGTTGCTAAGGCCATGAATTCTTCCTGCGTCCGCTCCTTCCCTTTATAGTTTTGAGCCATCAAGGCCACATCCATATGGCAGGTGTCTTTTGCAGCAGTACTTGCATCTGCTTCCACAGTTAAGACTGCATCCATCACTATCACTTTTCCATTCTTTGGAATTGGTTGATGGCAGTTCTTCAATAACCTTAAGCATTCTTCATCCGCCCAGTAATGTATTGTCCACTGAAAAATTTTCCATTGTTAATGTCATCTTGCCATTAGATTAGGTACATAAAACTAAATAGTCATTTCATTTGATGCTAATAGAATTGCTAGCAGACCTTCATGAAAATGACTTCCCCTTGTGGGATGCTTTCAAACATATCTCCTCCGACTTGTTCAACACCTTTAACATGACAACTGAACGTAAGACTTATAAATTAGAAATATCTGAGTTCAAATTATTGGGATGAAAAACATACCAGGTTAATTGGCAGCATGTTCTATGACGTGAGGCAAGTCAAAATTGATGCCCTTAATGTAGGGATATTTGGAAGTAATCAAGCTAAGCGTGATGCCTAGGCCGCCTCCAACATCAACAAGCTGCTTGAGGTCCTCGAAACCTCTATAGACCTCCAAGGTCTTCTTCATGACAATGGTTGTGTGGTTTTATCATTGCTTTGTTGAAAACTTGACCAAACCTTGGGTCAACTTTTAGGTACTCAAAAATGTGCATTCCATAGATCTTGTTGAATGGAATTCCTCCCTCCAAAACTACACTTTTCAACTCAGGCCTGTATATAACAGGGTAAGAATGTGCAACTGTGCAATTGATCAAAAGGGAAAAAAATGGAAGAAGAAATTAGTAAGAAACCGATTCTGCAATACACACCAGCTCTGCATGTAAACCTTGTCATTGAGCAAGGCCAGGAAGGGACCTAGTGAAACACCATCTTCATCGGGTACAAAGTATTTAGCCACTGAAGCCAGGCCATAGAACCTCTCACCGCCATTGATTGAGCTCACCAGGACGCGATGACTAGTTAGAAGTCTAAGGAGCCGGTCAAGCACCAGGGGTACATCTCGGTTCTTGGAGGTGGGCATCTGGGATGCAATCTCTGAAGTTGACAGTTTGGCTCCAGGACCTGCTCTAGCTATGATGTCAAGAACGCCAAGCTCTACTGCAGCTTGCATGGCCATGGGAAGCACTATGCCCATTGCTAAGTGCATAGCATGTGAAAAGCTCCCTTCATCATCTTCTTGCTCCTGTCTAAAACCGAGTTGAGTTTCTGCTGCCAAAGTTGAAGAATCCATTTTTTTGGGGAGAAATAATACTTCAATTGATCACCAAGAAAGTTGGACGGTAAGTCACACGAAACCAGTAGAAATTCTGAAAGCAAAGCTACGAAGGAGACATTTGGTTTTGATGCCATAGGGTTAAAGATGTGTAAGGTACTTGAAGAGGCGAGTTTTATCTTCAACCATCTTCTTGTATTGTAATGGCCCATTGAAGAAATGCCGGCCTTGATTTGTTTTTTCTAAATAGAAAAAAAAAAAACCATTTTATTAAAGTAGAGTGAGAGACATGGCACCAGTTATTGTAATCGAGACAGGCAAGTTTTGTCTTCCAATCAACTTTTTTCTTGGTAAGCCCAAGAGAAGCAATACCTACCTTAGTTTTCTTTTATAAGAAGAAAAAAATAAATCAGAAAATGACATTTTGATTTACATAACAAATTTTAACTTTTCTTTTAATTTCTTATATTTATCCTATGAATTTTAATAGGAGTTTGTTTTCATTGTTTGATTATTTGTCTTATTGGAGTATAAGAGCATGAAAGAAGGAAAATCTTTTAGATACAGATAGTAAATAAAGTGGCAAGTTTATAATTTTTATATGTTATAATAAATATGTCTCAGTACAAAATAATCTGAAAAATAAACCAAACTACAAAAAATTACGAAACAAATATACATATACATGAATATTTAACTATCTCTTATTTCTCAAGCATTGATTACACTACCAAAGCACATCGGGCACATCGGACACTGTAGCAATTTGTAACCAAATTATAAAAACTTAACTAAAATCATCACAACCCGTGCATCCTTTGTAGACAAACTCATGATCTATTATTGACATTCATCCAAAACCAAGGAAGTTGAGAAGTCCTCTAAACTTTAACATTAAAAAAAAAAATTGAAATAAAAACTTATTATTTTGCTTACAAAATCTAAAGGTTGTAGTAAAACTTCATTTATCATATCACAAAATGAAACAGACCCCAATTATCAGAAGAATAATTTCATACTAAAAATAACATAAAAATAACACAAAACCCCACTTGCAAAGGTATAAAACCACACCAATGAGCAGTATAAACCCTCACAAATGGAGGGATGAAATAACATGCATAAAAGAATGAACAAGAAATAATAAGAAACCCAACCGCTAGATAGACAAAGCTATCCATACGACTAAGGTTTTTTTTTTTCTTCTCATAGAAACAGTGGCAGCTCTAGATTTCTGTTACTAATGGTATGTTAAACAACTTAAATTTAGAATTTTTTACTCTTAAATGAAAATTTGAAAAAAAAAAAATATCAATAACCCACTTAGGGCCTTAATTAGCACGAAGCCACGAATGAAAGGTTAGATATTTCCCAATCCAATTATGACGTGTACAAATATCAAATGCCTCCAAGCCTCCCAACTACCAGTATTGGACTTGCCTTCCCATTTCAAAGTTCGGCCTTCATTTTTTTCGCTGTAGATTGAGCTCAACATGCTACATAGACCCATTTCCTATACAACCTTGGGCTCATCTTTTTTACCCTTTTTCTTAAAGATTTTTTTGGCAAGGTCCACACCCGCTTGAAAAAATAAAATACCCAAATTTACTCTCAAAGTATAGTAGCAAGAGTAGATTTATTTTCAAATAAAAAATAAAAATAAATTTACTCATAAAATTTTTAACTTGGATAAATCACTTCAAATTTAACTGTAATGTCATTTGATATCAGTAATTGTTAATTTGATGTCATTTAATGTTAACAATCTATTAAAGAATTAATAGATTACTGATATTAAATGATATCAAAAATTAAATTAAAAGTGATTTATCTAAATAAAAAATTTTATGAGTAAATTTATTTTTATTTTTCTTTGAGGGTGAATCTACCCCTATGCCTTTGAGAAAAGATTTGGGTATTTTATCGTACAAAGTAGAGGAACCCGTGGTCCAACTCAAACCAGTACTGATACTGACCGTTATGAACCAAGAGATGGGCCCACCAGAAAATCCCATTGTGGCCTGTGATCTTGATCAAATCCAAGCCCTTAATTTAAAGATAGTAGTACATATAGTAATGACCCGTTAGTGAAAATTTGGGCCCACAATTAACCAGGGAAAGCACTTAGGCCCAACCACCAATAAGTGCGGTGCATTTGCAACACTTAAGAGCCAGTCAGCCACCGCTCTGCGGCGGTTGGCCCTTCCGACTGAGTTTCATTGGCTGACATCGCTTGTCTATGGCGGTCCATGCACCTTGAAGGAGACTATACATTCCCTACTGTTTTTTAACAGCCAATTGAAAAGGAAGGAGAATCCCAATTTGCCACCAATCGCAGGCTGAGAAACTAATATTTCGATTATCATTCGTCGTCTAGGAATATCATCACATTATGAATTCATTTAGTACGGTTGATGTATTTGTCTTTTGATTTTTTTTTTAATATTTATTTGTCTTTTAATTTTGATCCATTTTAATTTAGCAACTAATAAAGAGCTAAATAACTACACACATAATATTATTGGTTACGGGTGGGTATTGTCATGTCATATTATTTTATGCCATGACAATCACATTATTATACCACTTGATATGGTAAAATAATATGTATGTTGATCTCTTATGATAATTGATAATTACTAATCCATCTTGACACAATAATGCCCAAAGGGGTCCATTACCATAGTGCAGCCACAGTCCATATATATATATTGTATTTTTTCTTTTAAGTTAATTATAAGGGGATATAAAAAATTAGTCCTTCTTAGAATTCATTAAGTATGGTTGATGTATTTGTCTTTTAATTTTGATCTATTTTAATTTAGCAACCAATAAGAACTTAAATAACTATACATATAGTATTATTGGTTACGAGTAGATATTATCATCTTATATCATATCATACCATAACAGTTATATTATTGTATCACATAATATGATAAAATAATATATATGTTTATTTCTTGTGATAATGAATAATTATTAATTTATCTTAACACAATAACAGCCACGATGGTCCATTACCATAGTGGCCAATAGCTGCCACTGTATATATATTTGTATTTTTTCTTTTAAGTTAATTAAAAGAGATTATAGAAAATTACTCCATCTTAAAATGTTAATAATAATAATGAAAAAAACTTAAACACACTTAATGAATCGACATACAATAAAAATTTATCAAGGATATTGAACAATTTCACAATCATTCTTGCGTTATCACTTTTCTCTAAATAAAATTTAAAAATATATAAATACAAGTTTAAAAAAAAAAATGTATCTTTTAAGTTGACTTGCAAGAAAAAAAAAATCCATATTTTCAAACGGTTTTAAGTTAAAAATCCTAAACCTAAAGTTATTTTATTGAAAGTATGGCCTATCATTTTCACTTGGAATATTTCTATTGCAAATTGATTTTTTCATTTTAATAGAAGTTGCGTAATACTTCAAATTTGTAAAATGAAAAAAGTGTATCAAAGGAATTTGGCAGTATTTGTATGGTAATGGTACAGGATTTCATTGTTTAAAAAAAAAAATGACAAGTAACTAATAATCGAAAAATATTTTTGACATGATATTGGTAATTAAAATCGTTGCCAAAAATTTGTGACAACCAAAAATATCATGCGTAGGGTAGGATCCCTACTATTGGTTATTAAATGTACTAGAATTAAAAAACAAAAAGTAATGAGCAAAAACAAAAAATGTTCAAATAACTAGATTTGCGCATAAATGATCATCCAGAAACTGGAAATGTTGTTACATTAAGCATCTGAGGGAGAAATAACTGGTTACACACAACTTGGCTCTAACAGAATTTTTATATTATAAAGGAGGTGAGAATGGAACTGAGCTGAGAATGATTTGCTGTTTAACAGAACCAATCTGCCTTGGCATACATAAAGAAACTAAAGAGTAGTATGCTTCAGCTTCACTGGCGGACAACGTTTAATAACGCAAAAGCCAACTTACAGGCACAATAGTTTTATACCATCTAGGTTGTCAGTTTATGATCAATGACCATTGGCAAGTGAACCATTCTCACAAGCAGTGCTGATCCCATCCTTATTAGCGTAGAATCTCCGGTACATGGAATCAACTTCGGTGAGATAATATGTTCCAGGTGCCAAAAGGCTACTGTCCTTGCTTGTCACAAAGTCCTTGCCCCCATACCTATGCTCCATGAGCTTCAAGGTCTCAACAAACTCCTCGGGAGGAATCTGCAGCAAAAAATTTCAGTTCGGATGTTTTCAATGACAAGGCAAGGCTTAAAAAAAATCTTTTAGAAAAAAAAATTCCATAGGAAGTTATCCCTCATCATTGAGTTAAAGAAGCAATCCTGCTTATCAAAAACAAAAAAAATCATTCTGGTCTTCTACAATCCAGTGAAATTCACATGAATATTAATACACAGTTAAAAGACCATGAAAATGATATGAAAAACAAGAGCACTGAAAAAAGAGGTCAAGGAAATATGCAGCTTCTTAAGAATCTTGGACATGATGTTTAAAATTGGAAATTCAGATTGGCTAGAACAAGTGAGTTTCACATTGTTGATTGAAACATTAATGCAAAAGGTACCTCAAGCCTTGACTTCAATTTCCCAGCAACATTCATCACTGTTGCAATGTTTGACAAGCTGAAAGGATTTTGACCTTTATGAAGTCGCAATGAAAACATTGTGGCAGTCAACCCACTCCCATATGAGAACAATATTACTCGCTTTCCTGCCTGCAAAATATCAAATAAATTACATGCTTCAGTCAAACAGTACATGTAAACAAGTAACTACATCAAATTAAAAATCAATAGAGGCATTTACCAATTCAGTATGTTTATTGTGAATAAGAGATGCAAATGCAGCATAGATAGATGCGGTATACATATTGCCAACTTGCTTTGGTATCAGGGTGGTTGGTTGCACCTTTGCATCATAAAGTGGCTTTGCCACCTGTTGGGATATCTGCAATAGTGTGAAAATAAGCAGCAATAAGCACAAAGCATTTGAAAAAGAAAACACACTCATTCCAAAACTCAATCAACTTTCCAAGTGAAACCAAGAAATTATATTGGAATTCTAATCTTCAAGATGGAATCATGATAATCAATCAGATACTGTGGATCAATCATGCACGCTATATTTTATCAAACATAATAATGTATCAAGTGTGTCAGGTAAGACTTACCAAAGAAAAAAAAGGTGTATGTCTGGGTAAGAATCTTAATATAATATAAGTAACAGCTAAAGTTCAAGACAGACCTTCTCAAGATCCCGATTTTGGTAGCTCTCATCACCAGTTAGAGTGGAGAATGGTCCCAGCTTCTCTTTAGCAACTTCATCAACAGAGCTGCAAATATATGGAAATTAAGCAAACATTCAAATACACATGAAGGAATTCTATGGAAACTTTGAGAAGCCTAAGACAAGCAAAGACCTTGCATTCCTTACGAAGTCGTTGAACACCAAACGAGCAAAGCTTTTCTGTACAAGCTGTGGCAATTCAAGGGAAAAAGATTCAGATTAAAAAACAGTAAGATTTGAAAGAAGAAACAGTTAGATTTCCAATAAATGTAGCATAAGCTACCTTGTTATATGGAGAATGAAACACAAAATAGTCAGCATCAGAGATGGAAAATTGTGTGCCATGCAATTTCTGATACCTGCATTCATGACATTGAGGCATCACATAAAAGTCCTTGAATTTTATTTGCTAATAAAAATTACAAAAAGCAAGTCCTAATTTAGAGACTTACTTCTTACAGAATTGGTTATAGCAAGAATCAAGAGCCATGAGATAGCATGTTTGAGAAAGCTTCCCATCAACAACCTACAGACATTTGTTGACAGTTGGAATAGTTAACTATAAGAGCAACATGCAAGAGAACTGAAAAAGATGACTACATATAAAAAACATTTCAACTGTAAACCAGACAAAAGGCAGACAGAGATCAAAAAAACTACCGGATATTCACTAGCAAGGTTGGGCTTGTAGAAGTCATAGGCATGGGACATATGACTTCCCCTAAGTTTGCTTTCAAAAGCAATTGGAGCATCAGGTCCTACCAGCATGGCAATTGCAGCTGCTCCACCAGTAGGCCGAGCAGGGCCTTCTGCATAGACCTGGAACAAAAATACCACACCCCATTAAGAAAGTAGAACGGATTTAGGAGGTTATCTGACCTTCTAATTTACCTATAACCACATATATTCACCTGCTTGCATATGAGTTCACAACCAGCAAGGGAAATGACAAACATAAATGACTTGAAAATCAGATAACTTTACTGATAAAGATATGGGAAATCAATGCCAATTTAAAATTGCATATATTTAGTTTACTCTCAGAAGGAAGGAAGGACTTGCAGAGCAAGAAAAGAAAAAGAACATCCCTTTCTATCAAATATGAAAAGAAAACCAAGCACCTAGTGATATTATCAATTAATTATGCTTCCATGGAGAGGCTGAAAAATGAAATGTTTCAAGGAAATGTTCATACCGCACTGTCAGTACACACAACAAGACCATATCGTCCATCCCATGAATTACTCTCCACCCAGTTGACACAATTGAATAAAGCTGCGGTTCCTCCATAGCATGCATTAGTTGAGTCAACACCTTCAATATCAGTATTTCCATGTTTCTGTTTGTTTTACACAAGAGAGCAGTGAGTAAAGAACAGACAATTTAACAATAAAATAGCATCAGAAAAGCAGTGTAGACAAAAACACACAACCTCACTGCAGGGCAATGTAAAAGATAGACAGGATTAAGTTACGTTTTAACTCCCAGAAACAGAAAGGGGTGTCCATTCAAGATAAGAAGAGAACAATGAAATGAATACCTCAAAGATTTGCATCAGAAAGGTCTTAATGGCTTTGCTCTTGTCTATAACAGTTTCACTGCCTACTTCCAGGCGGCCAATTTGTTTAGGATTAATTCCATACTTCTCAAGGAGAGAATTAACAGCTGTCAAACTGGAAATTCAGCAGCCTCAGTTAAGAAAAATGAACAAAGTACTAATTTAATCCATACCACACATCACTCAACAATTCATTTTTCACCAAACATAGATAACATCATAAAACACCATCACCTACTTCTAGCAGCATATAAGAAACCAAGAATAGAAAATGTACCTCATAGAGATGACATCTTCCACCTCTGTACAGAAAGCCATACAATCTTGTCCAAGTCCAATTGTGTATTTTCCTTTGCTCACACCATCATGAGCCTCCAACGCTTCCTATTTTGCATGCATGAGAGAAAATAAATAAGCATAAAACCCAAAGCTAATGTAAACTAAATTCCAACACAGAAATCATATACCAAAACACAATTGTC